AAAAAGTCTTCGTCGTATGTGGGTTTTTCAGAGCCATGATTTTCCTACCCCCAGAGAGGAAGGCCCTTCCTTTTTGGGCCTGTTGTGGGCGAGGAAGGATTCGAACCCCGGACACCATGGTTTGCATGGATTAGCTTTCGAGTTGTGGCTTCTTGTTCATCTTTCACGCTGCAGGATGAAATTCCAACTATGTTGCCTCCCGCCATTTCCACAACAATTCCTTCACTTGATGTCGGATCTCCTTTTCTTAGTATAAAGAGGGTCCAATCAAGCAACCGATTTAGATTGCATGAGAGCGCCTTTTTTACTTTATATGAAAAATATAGATTTACAGTATTAGGTTCGTTCTGTCATCGACCCAATCTGTGTTTCTACGAGCGTTGCATTAATGAGGTGGAAGGTTCAAATTATTTCTCGTCTTCTTGCAAATTATCCATCTTCTTAGATTCTGATTGATTTGTTAGGTAGTTTGTATATTTTTATACACGTACATGTTGGGCCACATACAAAATAAATAAACCCGTAAATATATTCAATCCAGCCCATTTGAGCGTTTATAGTTAAGAGTGAATTACAATGTTGGTCCATATGGTTTACATTTATCTCGATTTTGTCCCTATTTTTGCACTAGTTACAATAGTGTGTCATTGTTATGCATTTCGTTGCGGTTTTGGTCCCTCCGCCATTTCTTGCGGTTACGCCCAAGAAAAGAAGCACTAGTCTAGCTTTAGTGGCTTATTGGCCTTGATGGAATATTTCAAGGAGTTTTTCTTATGGTTGTTGATTACTTTCTCTCCTACAACCAAATTTCATCAAACTGATTCGAGTTTATTCTCGCCTGTATAATTCTAATCCTTAAAACCCTAAAATCAAGAAATCTTTTGTCTGTGTCGAACTTAGAAAAAAAAAAGAAGCCAGTTATATCCAGTAAGCAGTAACAAGCAAAATATAGATTAATGAACCATAAAACTCTTTCATTTTTTCTTTGTTTCCCCAGATTGTTAATCGAAAAGGGATGAAAAATGTGAAATAAAATATGATTTTATTGGCAAGTTTTGTATAAATGACAGAGATTGTGTAACTCTTCCATTTGCATTTTTTGTCTCAGTAGTTTACACCTGAAGAGAAAAAAAGGGGGAGGGTAGTAGGTATGTGGTTGGACATAAGGATGGTAATTTGCCCTAACCCGGTAGGAAACCCGACTCACCCGACCCAAACGGGTCTGGAATGATCTGGAATATAAGAAACAATAAAGACACTTTCCAAATAAGGCAATATGAAGGCATATTTTGGACATACGGGCATATAAACTCAAAAAATCTCCATCTACAATCTACATTATTGTAGTTGGGCTTTAATTAAAGAATTTGAGAAATCTCATTGGGCCTCAATGGGCTCTTATGAGCCCTATCAAATAATCCCCACAATTTTATAACCAGACTGTTTTTAACGATTTGTAGATTCAGTACGAGATATAAGAAAGAATATCTGATAAGTACGAAAGAAAAACTTCAATAAATGGCTTTTGTTATAAAAATAATAAAGTTGAATTCAAGAAATATTGATGATTCATATAAAACAATTTTTTTTTTGAGTATTCCTAGATTAAAAACCAATCAGTAATAATTTTTAAATTAAGATTATCTAACATGTATTTTTTAATAAATGATGTCATAATTTTCACGTATTAACGATAGATTATTAAGGGTTACAATGTTGGTTGCTCAGAGTAAGGGGTTGTTTGTTTATCTCTTAATAGTTTCATTAAGAGGCAAACTCTGAATCGTTAAGAGATGAATCTTGTTTGGCAAAAAAAAAAGTATGCCTCTTAATGGTTCTAAAACCCTCTGAATGATTTTGTATCCTAGATCTCCCTTAACCATTAGGACCTTTAATTTCATTGTATACAATTACCAAACAATTATATTTCATTTTGTACTATATCATGAGAGTCTCTTATTCAAACTGACCACTTAATCATTCTGCATCATACCATTCAGCAATTGCCAAACAGCCCTTAACACTGTGTGACACAATGTAAAACAAGTGGGTTAATATCTCACCTCATGCAAATGTTTTTCATCATCGTTTTAAACTCTTGAGTTAAAACAAAAATTTCAAAACCGTCAATTTCAGATTATTACCCCATGTCGATTATAATTTGAGATTTTATTCTTGTTTTATATACATGTGAAAATAATTAAGTTTCATGCACTTGATAATAGATAATCAAGAGTCAATAATGTACAAAACAACAAAGGTGGTTTTGAAATTCTAAAGGTTGTGTTTATCGAATCTGTAGAGGAAAGAAAGGAAAGGAAAGCAAAATTTTTGTTTGTGTTTTTTTATATACAATAAATAGAACAAATAAACTCACACACCCTCTTCATATTTGATGAGGTTTGAATCTTTGACCTCTTAGGAGACCAATGACTCACATACCGCTAAGGAAAGACCATTTAATTTTATTTGTGTTCTTGAAAGAAAAGGGAAAAAAAGACATGAAAGTAACGAAAATAACTTTCATGTTCCTGGAGTTGAGAGAAATAAATAAAAATTAAAAATACATATTTTAATATGAAAGATATGGTAATTTTTTAATTTTAATATATTTTTAAAGGGTTTTAATTTATTTCCTTCTATTTCCTCCCACAATTGGGAGAAAAGTTTTGTGAGGAATCTTATTATTATTTTCCTTTTCTTTCATTTCTTTTTCCTTTTGAAAAAGTTTCAAGAATACTGTTTTTTTTAACTTTCATCCTCTTTCCCTTCGTTTTCTTTCATTTTCTTCGGGAAAAAAGGTTTCCAGAACATAATGTAAATATAGATAGAATCGTCTACTATGGATGGTAATTTTCTCAAAACGTATCCATTTTCTTAGTTGATAACAGTAAATCTACTTTATTATTATAATAAATTGAAAGTAATACAGATGAAGTAATACAAAGAATCAGTGAAGGACAAATGATGGAGAAGATTATAATTGTTTTCTAAGCAAAAAGGTAAACGCAGACGTGTGATAGCATAGAAGGAAAAGATGATTCGTTAAGATTAAGGAAAGAAAAAAAACAACGAATGAGGCATATGCTCTGCAAGTTATAGGAATGACTGGATGATCACTTAAATGGTATCTCGCCGAATTCTTGAGGACCTTGATCATACGGGCCCCCTGTCGATCAGGCTCGACGACCAAGAGAAGCAAAACGAAATCAGGGCCGATAGAGAATAATCGTTTTTCTGAGACGCATTGACGTTCCTTTTTTTTTTCTTCATGTTATGCAGTGAGTCCTAATAAAAGATGAAAAAGTCAAATAATGGACGAAAATGTTTGAACTTCACTTTCTTCCTTTTCTTGCTATGTAAAAACAAGATATCATGATAGATGCAGAGGAATTAGTTGGGGTACATTTAACATGTAAAAATTATTTATCAATCGGAAACCTATGAAAACACATAATGACTCGTAATAACACTAAATGGACTGTCAAATAACAAACAGCAATAACCGTGAGATGGTAGTACAATACCAACTATAGAAGCAAAAACACATAGCAATAACCAACAAAGACAGTAAAGCAAACTACATAAACAAATAGTAACACCTGATAGACACATAAACAATCAAGCATATGATAGAAACAAACAAAATAAGCATCTATTTTGAGACGGAAATATTTTTTAAATTGCAAAAATAAACACTTATTTTTAAAAATAAATAATAAAAAAATAAATGGCAAATTGTATGAAAAAGTAACATACTTTAACTTAATTCCTATTTTTGGTAACATACTTTCAGAACTTCCATTTTGGTACCTAAGTTGTAAATTTTAAACATTTAAGTACCTGGGTAACTGGTTGAAGTATTAACCGATTATCATACTGATGTGGCGAGTGATGTGGTATCCAACTCGGTATTATTTGCTGACGTGGTCAGTGACATGAATTTTTTAAATCTAAAATTAGTCTTTTTTTTAATCTAAAATTAGTCTTCAAGTGGTTACCTGGGTACTTAAATGTTTAAAACTTTACATCTTAGGTACCAAAATGAAAGTTTTGAAAGTACGTTACCCAAAATAGGAATCAAGTTAAAGTACGTTACTTTTTCATGCAATTTGCCCAAAAATAAACATCTATTATGAGACGGAAATTTAATCTATACTATATTATAAAGTATTTGACAAAAACTCTTAAAAATTATTTTTTATGCGTAAAATACTGTTTATTAATGCATATTACTTAACACTCAAGATTACAAGTAGATTGTGCGTAAATACAACTTATTAAAGCTCTATATTTGAATTCGTGTAACTAACTGCAGATAAACATAATCAAATACAAGATAAACATCTTATTTTAAATATAAAAAATCTAAAATATAATTAGRATAATCATTGAGTTYTAACATAATAYTTAATTATTATCTTTATAAAATGTTATATTAGTAAACCTAAATTAAATTTATTTGTTACTAAACCTAAATTAAATTGTGATAAAAAAATAAATTAAAAAATTACATAAAAGATGAGAACTTTTAAATAGTTGATTTGATATTAATATTGATATATTTTTTTCAAATTTTTACGATATCTTCAAATTTATATTTTATTCAAAAATAAAATCATTATTGCTTTCTTAAAGACATATAAAATCGTATTATAATATCGACATAGACAAATAATAAAATAAAATATTAAAATCGAAATTTGTCTTGCTATATTATACAAGTACTCTTTTAGTTATTTATAATTATTACAGTGAGATGGATAGAAAGATAAAATAAAATATCAAAGAATTAAAAAATTGACACAAAAATGTCATATTTATAAAAGGGAGGGTGGGGGCGCACCTCGACCACACCGCTGGCCCCCAATCTTGTACCACTGTTACGATACACAAGTTTTTTTTATTTTTATTTTCTTGAATATTTTTTGGGGTTTTTTTTTCAACTTTCACACAAACCCACCATTCTTGTAAACGTCCATTTAGTTTCTCTCTCATCGCCTTCTTATTGGTTTCTCTCTCTAGACACATCCAGGTCGTCTTGTTCGTTTTGGACCTGGTACATGCCCACTTTATAGTTTACACCCATCTTCTCAAAATTAAAAATTCTTTCTATATTTTATAACAAATAAACCACAAAAATATCAAATCCACACCCACCCCCAACAATGGCATAAAGGTGATCTTCACCCACGCACTGCAAAAGGTACATTTACACAAGACCACCATTTTTCTATATCTTCCCCAATTTACTTATATATATATATATATATATAGATATAGATATAGATATTTATATGTACATGTTCTTGGTGACCTTTTCCCCCAATAATATTGTACCCTAGACTACCAAAAAGGACAGATTTTTAAGTAGCAAGACAAAAGAAATTTTAAGTTAGTGAATGTATCAAAGTATGTGCGACTTTGATTCAAGGAAGTCTTGATTTCCTTGAGGCGATGCTTTTGTTTTTCAATTTGGGGTTTCGATAGATGGGTCAATCAATTGATGGGGAATTCTTGATCTGGACCCACCTTTTGTTTCTAGGTCACAGCAAAAACTTCAAATTTTTTGTGGGTTGAGTTGAGCCATGTTTTGACATGCAATTGATGTGTCAGAATCTTTATTTTTTTTTCTTTTAGGGTTTTTGTTCAATTTTAGTCTAACATTTGCCAATTAAGGGGTTTTTAATTTGTGGGTTTCTTTGATTTATTGTTTTTTGATAACACATGGACTTGGATTGGGTAGTAGTTCCAATCCATAATGGTTTATGCCAAATTGTTGTACTAATTTGCTTAAATTCTTCTAGAAACCTGCAATCTTTCCCCCTAAATTTGGGGGTTTTTGTATTCTGCAGCAACTGGAATATACAGACTTAACTAAATTCTAGTTCTGGATTTATTTGTTATGTTTGGTAAACAAAAATTAGTGCAAGCAAATGAGAACTTAACAGTGAGTTAGAAAGATTCTGGTATGAGACACTTGTTGATTATAGCTTAAATAGATTTTAATTATGATGCATTTGTAGATTATATGATCGCAGTTCGAAAGGTAGCATTTGATTATTTATTATCTGTTCTTTCTGTAAGTAATTAGTTTCTAAGCATACTAGTTATGAGATTGACACCTCTAGAATATGTCGCGCGGGCTTTTAGTTTTAGTGCTTAGAAGTTGGATTTTTATCACTAACAAGCAAAAGAACTCACAGGTTTTTAACTATAGCTAGTACAGTTGGATTTTTCGCTTTTTATTGCAGTAAAGTAGATATTTTTCTTTATATAAAGTTTTTATTTAATGCTACAAGAAAGAAATATCCTTTCATCATAAATGATGAGGAGTTTTGTGGGGTTTTTGGAAGTTTGTTGTAAACCAAGTTTCTTCCATTATATTGCACAACTTTTTCTGAAATACAGGTTTCATATTTCGCTACGAAGAATATCATTCCGAGCTTAGATTGGTCACCTATATGTGATTTTACCATTTTTTTGTCATGAAAATGCTTATTTCAATTGACATTGAGTTCACTCAATATGAAGGAATGAAGGCATTCTGTGAAGTACTTTAAATAACACATCAGGAACAGCATATGCAATTAATTTGCAAATTTTAATGAAAATTCAGGCTCAACAGATGTTTGTAATGCTAAGGAATTAGATTGCATAAATTGTTTATTGCCATTTCTTGCTCATTTTCTTGATTGAGAGGCTGTATGTTTCATCTTCCATAGAGATAGTGATCGAATTGTGGCTCAGGTTCACTGTGAATAACCTCTTCACTTGAAATGTGAATGAAATCCCATATTTTGCATATGCATTTACATATGAATATTATAAAGATACACTGTGATTTGTTCTCTAGCCTACATGTTCCATATATGTAATGCATCTTGGATAGTTTTCTTATATATATATATATATATATATATATATATATATTATAGGTTCTATTCTGTTTGCTAATCATATATAACGTCTCTTTTTTCCATTTATGATGTAGTCTTTATATGGTGAACAGGTTCCAGTGAGAAATCATGCAAGTTCTACCTTGTACTGATGTACATTATGCGGGAGAATCTAATAGTCCGAATCAAGGTTCTGAAAAAGCTTTTATGTATGATGGAGGGGCAAACAAACATGAACTAATTCAAGAAGGAAATACGAAAGTAGATAATCACGTGCTTAATATGGAAGCATCTGATGATGAGCAATTTGGTGATGGTGATTGGAAGCTTGATGAATCATCACCAACCATAGAAGGCGATCCTAAAAGGGAGCCATTTCATGAGCTTGAGGTGGATGACCAAAAGTTATCCTCTAACAGTCGTGATTCTGGAGTTGACAGTTTAGATGCCGATACTGTTGGAAGAGAATTGCCATCTGGGAATCAGGAGTGCGAGTCCTCTCGTTCAGAACCCAAGTGGCTAGAACAAGATCAACCTATGGCTGTTTGGGTTAAGGTTGGTGTTTAATTTTTCGTTCTAATGCTGCAAACTAGCTTTTGCAGGCTGTTTTCTTTGTTGTATGATCTATTATCTGGTTATCAAGAATAATTTCCAAGCGGGGGCGAAAAATAATTAGCATAATATAAAATAAAAAAATTATTGTAAAAAGTATGGTTTCATTAAAAATGACATGCAAGTGGTTTTTTGCAACACCCAAGCGGCTTTTCCTTATTTTCTGCTGTTTTTAGCAAAAAATTAAAAAGACAGCCAAAGGGATTCAAGCTTGCAACATGTAATGCCACATGCAATGACACTACCGGTAGGCTCCAGCCACTTTTTGTTAACTTCATTTAGGGATCACATATGAAATTAAAGTGGATGCACTGAATTCTGTTTGTTCTTTTTCTTCATAATATAGTGGAGAGGGAAGTGGCAAGCAGGGATAAGGTGTGCAAGATCTGACTGGCCATTGTCAACCGTGAGAGCAAAGCCTACCCATGACAGGAAACAATATCTCGTGATATTTTTTCCGCGAAAAAGAAATTATTCTTGGGCAGATGTGCTGCTTCTTCGCCCAATCAATGAATTCCCCGAGCCCATTGCATATAGGTCACATAATGTCGGGGTGAAGGTGTTGAAAGACTTGACTGTTGCACGTCGGTTTATCATGCAAAAGATTGCTGTTAGCATGATAAATACCATTGAACAGTTGAACAATGAGGTTTGTGATCAGTCACTACTTGGAAGTTGTTTAACTGTTTGTTGATATGATTATTGTTTTTATTGTTATACAACTCTTACTCGTGCTCGTTTCTTTGTGTTTGCTTCTGGTGGGTTATGTTTAACCCTATTAGGCTCTGACAGAGACTGCTCGTAGCATGGTAGTGTGGAAAGATTTTGCATTGGAGGCTTCCCGATGTAAAGATTATTCTGATCTTGGGAATATGCTTCTTAAACTTGAAAAAGTAAATTTCTTGCTTTGAGAATGATGTTTCTTTATTTGGATACGTGTTATCTTATACTTTAGTTATCGTGGCTTTAACTTCATGCATTTGCATTACTTAGTTTGAACTTGCTTAAACCCTTAAAACCAAATAGACCCGGATCAGTTCACATGGTACACTAACATATGCCTTCTCAAGATCTATGAACACCATGTGTAGATCCTTTCTACGCTCTTTATGCTTTTCCATAAGTCTGCTGAGAAGATGGATTGCCTCGGTTTTAGACATCCGTGGCATGAAGCGGAATTGGTTTTATGTCACCGCCGTTTCACGTTGCACACAGGCTTCAGTCACCTGTTCCCACAATTTCATTGTGTGGCTAAGGGGCCGTTTGGTTGCTTTTCCATAAGTCCTGTATGAATAAAGTTGTCTGTGTGGATTAATCTGTCTGTATAGATTGGTAAGGTTTTTGTTTGGGAGGGTTGTTTCATAGATGAAAGGAGCGTTTTTTAATTGGGAGGAGCAACTTTGGAATTTTTTTGGCTTTCTGCATAAAGCGCCCCCTAGAAGCTTATTGAATAAGACACTTTCTATATCATTTAAGTCACTACCAAACAATCATGTATAGCTGACGGAATAAGCTGTCAGTCGCATTAAGCTCATTAAGCTGCTAACAAACAAGCCCTAAGTAGTCTTATCCCCCGATAGCTACCACAACTCTGTGCATTGCCCTTGATCTTATAGAGCGCTATCACTTTACTAAGCCTCCACTCACTTGGCATTAAGCATTCTTGAGGATGACGTTAGGTAGGGTTGTCAACCATAGCAATCCTGCCTCCCCCCGGGACACTAACACACCTCAATGAGGATCTGGTCGGGCCCTACAGCCTTAGCCCTTCCCTGAAGATACTCCTACCATCTCCTTGGCTGCATCTTTAATGGTGGCTATTCATACACATGTGTATATCTTCATGGAAGTTGGTGTATGATAGGGGTGTAAGAAAAAGTTACATGATTTTACTATTGAAATGGTAAAAAATTTTGGGAGTTTAATTGAATCTGAAACTTACATTGAACACCTGGTGACAACTGTTTTCATGATTTATTTCTTGATCGGCACTATGCTTTCTATTATATACTCCAATCATTGCTAATAAAAGGATGCATTTTTCTTTTCTGAATCTCTCATATTCATCGGCATGTTCCCTAATTTGGAAAAAAGTTCATAACAAACGGGTTAATTATTAAAGGCCAAACAATCACTCCAATTGAGCAAGATTTAAAAGCCTATCATTTACTTCTGGAGGGAGTTAGATATATTTTCGTGTACTTGTATTGGTGGACATTAAGGTGACATTATCGATTTTCTTTCCAGATGATATTGGCGCGTTTCATAAATTCTTACTGGCTAGAACATTCTTTAGAAACATGGATGCAACAATGTCGGAATGCAAATAGTGCTGAATCTATAGAAATGCTGAAGGAGGTATGTTCCTTTTATGTGTATTGATAAAGGTAGTGTTTTAGAATGCATTTAAACGGGTTTTTTCTTTTGGGTCTATATAATTTCAGGAGTTAGGGGAAGCGATTAACTGGAATGAAGTGCACATGCTTTCAAATGCAACAGTGCAGGCTGAAGTGGGTTCCGAGTGGAAAACCTTGAAACCGGAAGTTATGAAATGGTTTTCAATGTCAAATCCTTCATTCAACACTGGAGACACCGAACAGCAAAGCAACGATGGTTTTTCCAACACAGGTCTTCAAGTTAGTAGGAAAAGGCCCAAGCTTGAAATCCGTCGTGCTGAGATGCAAACTCCACAGATGGAAACTGAAGGTTCAAATCAGTCTTTACCCATTGAAATTGATTCAAGATTTTTTAATGGGCAAATGGTGAATTCCCCTATCGGGCTTTCACGGGCTGAAGTTTCTCTTCTGGGAACAACCGAGACCATAGATTATCCTAGTAGTAGCACAACGGACAGATGGGGTGAGATTGTCGTTGAAGCTGGAAATATGCAAGAAACCCGTTTAAAAAATTTGGAAGTGAATCCAGTAAATAAGAATAAACAGTGTACAGCTTTCATTGAAGCGAAAGGAAGGCGTTGTGTTAGATGGGCAAATGATGGAGATGTTTATTGCTGTGTACATTTGGCTTCTCGATTTTCTGCCAATCTAGCAAAACCGGAGGTCAGCACTCCCCCTGTTGATGCACAAATGTGTGAAGGAACTACTGTTCTTGGTACCAAATGCAAGCATCGGTCTCTTCCTGGATCTTCTTTCTGTAAAAAACACAGATCTAATAAGGATACTGTGGTAATTTTGCCTTCTCCACCCGAAAACAAACTTAAAAGAAAGATAGAAGACAGGTTCCGAGACTTACCTGAGGCTAATAGTTGCAAAGAAATTGTGATATCAGGGCATTTTGGAACTCCGCCCCCAGTGGATACAAGCAACGGCCTTTTTCAAACCGAACAGTTGGGAAAAGAGTATAATGGTACTGAAACCATTTACTGCATTGGTGATGGTGTTTCTTGCCGTGAAACTCCAAAACGGCATACACTTTACTGCGAGAAACACTTGCCCAATTGGCTGAAACGGGCAAGGAACGGAAAGAGTAGGATCATTTCAAAAGAAGTGTTTATCGATCTTCTTAAAAGTTGTCAATCACATGAGCAAAAGTTACATCTACATCAAGCATGTGAGCTATTCTACAAGTTCTTTAAAAGCGTTCTTTCTCTAAGAAGCCCGGTTCCGAAGGAAATCCAGCTCCAATGGGTGATGTCTGAAGCTTCCAAAGATGTAAAAACCCGACATTTTCTAACAAAGTTGGTTTGTAGCGAAAAGGAAAGACTGATTAGGCTTTGGGGGTTTAATAGCGATAATATTGCACAAAATTCTTCTGCCACCGAAGAACCGGTCAAATTTCTGATGGCGGATGATAACAAAAATAATGTTGAAGGTATCGTCAAGTGCAATATTTGCTCGGAAAAGCTTCTTGATGACCAAATGCTTGCCAAACACTGGATCGACAACCATAAAGAGGAAGCACGGTTGCTGTTTAAACGCTATGTTTGTGCCATCTGTTTGGATTCTTTTACGGAAAATAACCTTCTCGAAGCACATGTTCAAGAACGGCACCATGTTCAGTTCGTTGAGCAGTGCATGCTTTACCAATGTATTCCTTGCAGTAGCCGTTTTGGGAATCCGGACCAGTTATGGTCCCACGTTCTTTCACACCATCCCGCCAATTTCAACCTGCCACATGTGGTTCAGTTAGGTGAGGATTCTTTAGAGACACGGGATTATACTCAAGTACAGAATGTGAATTCCGATAATCAAGATGGCTTGCAAAAGTACATATGCCGGTTTTGTGGGCTGAAATTTGATTTGCTACCTGATCTTGGTCGACATCATCAAGCTGCTCACATGGGCTCGATTCCTACTGGTTCTCGTGTCTCCAAAAGAGGGGTACCGTTCTACGCTAACAAACTGAAATCTGGGAGACTTTCTCGTCCAAGATTCAAAAAGGGTCTAGGAGCAGCGCAATTTAAGATACGAAATAGGGGTGCTGGAAGCATAAAGAAACACATTCAAGCACCATTCAGAGAAGTGGTAGAAGGGGAATTTCAGTCAACTGAATCAGTCAGTCTTGGTAGATTGGCAGAGTTTCAATGCTCAGATGTTGCAAACTCACTTTTTTCAAAAATTAACAAAACAAAACGACATCCAGGAAATCTCGAGCTTCTAGCCATAGCTGGCTCTGCTTGCTGCAGAATAAGCTTTCAAGCATCATTAGAGAAGAAATACGGAATCTTGCCCGAAAGATTGTACCTAAAAGCAGCAAAACTTTGCAGCGAACATAATGTTCTAGTTGAGTGGCATCAAGACGGGTTTATTTGTTCTAAAGGATGTAAATCAATCACAGATTCACATCAATTGCCGCCTTTAAAATCTCTTTCTGATGGTTCTTTTAGGCCCATGGCTGAAATCCATCAGCCAGCCGCCATAACAAGCGAGTGGGCTATGGATGAGTGCCACTATATTATTAATTTCAACCATTCTAGGCAAGAATCTACTGAAAGAGCCATTGTTTTGTGTGACGATATAAGTTTCGGAAAGGAGTCCGTTCCAATTGCGTGTGTAGTGGATGAACATCTTTTAGGATCGCTTCACGGGTCTGCTGACGGTGATGATGGTCAAACTAACGCGTGTTTCTTGCCTTGGGAAAGCTTTACTTATGTCACGAAGCCGTTACTTGATCAGTCTCTTGATCTTGGATCGCAGGTAATCTTGATTGTTTATTCAAGCCGTTTACTACATGCTGACTGCCTCTTACTGGCTAAGAGGTGCTTACCTGGCCCACAGATATGCTGACCTAGATGTTGACCCCGTAAGAAAGGGGTTGCTTTCTAACTCGGTTGGTGATTTGGTCAACCCTTACCCTTACACTTCGTAAACAACCATTTTCAGTCAGCGCTTATCCATACTGCACTCTCAGGGACTGTTTGGTTGGTTTTCCATCAACTCCTGTATGGATAAAGTTGTATGTGTGGATTAATCTGTCTCTACAGATTGGGAAGGTTTATGTTTGGAAGGTTTTTTTCATCGATGGAAGGAGCATGTTTTTTAATTGGAAGAGGACGGTTTGGAAAAAACTTCACTTTTTACATAAAGTTTCACCCTAGAAGCTTATTGAGTAAGCCACTTTATATATCATTAAGCCACTATCAAACAATCATGTATAGCTGAACGAATAAGCTGTGAGTCCCATTAAGCTACTAACAAACATGCCCTTGCTTGCTTAGCGCTTACTCAAATTTGTGTTGGTAAACGAACCCGTAGGGCTTAGGGTAGATTCTTCGACATCTGAAGTGGAAGCATAATGTCTCAGATAAGTTATTGTGGTCTCGCTTAATTACTATAAAACTGGAATTTAGATGATTTTTACATTTTTGTTCGCAGAGTCTACAGTTGGGTTGTGGATGTGCACATTCAACGTGCTCGCCAAAGGCGTGCGATCACGTCTATCTTTTTGATAATGATTATGAAGATGCGAAGGATATAAATGGCAAATCCATGAAAGGAAGGTTCCCTTATGATGACAAAGGTCGGATCATTCTCGAGGTAATTATGCCAACTTGCCTTTAACTTCAGTGCTATTGTCGTTTTTCATTGTATGCGACTCAACAGGGCAAGTTCAAATGAGAACTGTAAATAATTTGAGAACCTCAGAACCTACTATTCATGTATTATTCATGATGAATGTCTTGATAGATATTCATCACGGAAATTATCATAATGAAAATGCATGATATTCATGATGAATATTTAGGGTTATTCATTATGAATAATACATGAAATAGTTGGTTCCCATGTTCTCAAGATGGTTATGGTTTTCATTTGAAGTTTCCCCCTATGATCCAACAAATATTGTTGTAGGTAACCGAACAACAGACAGACTATCATTCACAAAAAGAACACAGATTTACTTGGACTTTTTAGTTTTCTTCAAATAATCATATATTTTACAAGATCTTCTTCCTTTATTCTTGCAAACTCAATAGTTAAGTTCAATGTTCATGTTGATCAGGAGGGTTACCTCGTATACGAATGCAATAGGAATTGCAGCTGCGATAAAAACTGTCCAAATAGGGTTCTTCAAAATGGGGTAAGAGCGAAGTTGGAGATCTTCAAAACAGAGGATAAGGTAATGTCACCTACTTCTATTTTTAGCAATTTTTTGATCGTTTTCGTTAGTTTTTAGCACCACGGATTAAACTTGCAGGGATGGGCAGTAAGAGCGGGGGAACCAATTGATCATGGCACATTTGTTTGCGAGTATATTGGCGAGGTTATAGATGAGCAGGAAGCAAATAAGAGGCGTCAAAGGTTTTGCGTTCTTCCATTTCTCAAAAGAACTAAATTTCAACATTTATTTATATGAATTATCAAAAGATCGAAACTCTGATCTTAATATTGGAATTTCTATGGGAAAATCAGGTATGTTACAGAAGGCTGTAGCTTTATCTATGAGATTGATGCTCGGGTTAATGACATGATTCGGCTAATTGAGGGGGAGGCTTCTTATGCTATTGACGCCACAAAGTATGGGAATGTATCGCGTTACATAAATCACAGGTAAAAATATGTTGTTTTACATTCCTTTGAACGAAACGTGATTTAGATTATAACCCTCGAAAAAAGGGAGGAAAACGGTATTATTTTGCTAATTGATCCTGTTCCATTCCAAACCGGGAAAAAAGATTTATAAAGAATGAAGCTTTTCATTTCATTCCATCCAAGCCACAATTCATTAATGTCGATAGAACAGAGCATGCATGTGTAGCCATACCCCTGAGCCCCAAATAGACTATTCCGCTCAAGGGTCATTTAGGTAAATGATCTTAAACGAGTTTTTAATTAAATTCATGACCTCATGACTTATACAAGGAAAAACGGGTTTATACTCACAAGAAGGTCGTGGATTTAATTAAAATCTCATTTATTATCAGATATGTCAGAAGGTCAAGAAGTTAAAAGAAAATTGTGAGGCCATTCAACCGACGGACCCATATGCAAATGAGGTCTTTTGGTTAAATGACCTCGTGTCACGTTTTCTTTTTAAATCCATAACCTTTTATAGATTTGAGAATGTCATTGTTTAACAGAAGAACGTCACTTCCATACACAAGAATGCCTAGAAACCTTTCAGATTGTTACGGGTTTAAAAAACACCCAAATGGGATTAAGTCATTATTCTCATGATTATGTTATCTTTGTAGCTGTTCTCCCAACCTTGAGAACCATCAAGTTCTTATCGAGAGTCTGGATTCTCAGTTGTCGCACATTGGTCTCTACGCCAGTCGAGATGTAAGAATTTAGCCTTTCTCTATTCACTATATCATCCGAATGACAAAACTGTAGTTAACGAAGGGCTCTACTCTCCGTTTCTTCTATAAAATTCTTGCGCAGATAGCTGCAGGCGAAGAACTGAGTTTTGATTATATGTACAAGGCACCACCGGGCAAAGGGTGTGAATGCAGATGCGGGGCTGTGAATTGCAGGGGTCGTGTGCAATGAATCCAAGAAAAAAAAGGCAGCGGTCGAAGATGCAAGATTTTCTGACTTACGAATCAAATCTTGAACGTGAATATTTAGTTTCTTTCGCTTTCAATGAAATGTAGCCTGCATAGGATTTTCAACGTGAAGTTCGATTAGGAAACAGGGATTTAGCATTAGATTTAAATAAAACTTTTACGCTTATGTTTAGCAGGTCGTTTTATATACAAGTCGAGATCGAAAAACTGTAGACAAGTTTTGAACTTTGACCTTGGGCTTACCATATTTTGATCATAAGTTTCTACATTTGCCTTTTTTGTTTATGTTTCACAAATCTTGAAAAATGATGGTGTTTATGCCAAAATTTAATTTAAGGCTGATGTGGAGTTTTAACAACTAAAGATCGTATCCTTCGATAAGCACGTGATAAATGTAATAAAATAAATTAGACACAAGAATTTGGTGACGTGGAAAACCCTTGTTAAGAGTAAAAACTGCGGACGACACTTGAGATCGTCAATTCACCAATGACGTAAACAGGGACGTCGTCCTTTGCGTGACAACTGTTGTAAATTACAATATGATTGTAAGTAAAATGTATACTTTAAGAATTTTTATCCAAACAGTTAGTATGATCATGTTTTAACAAACTAACTGATATTGGATTTTTCAGTAAACTTAAAAAATAAGTTGGCTTATAGTTGTCAAATATGGCCAATACAAAATTGCTCATAGGAACCAACTAAGGGACTGTTTGGTTGGTTTTCCAATAAGTCCATGTCTATATGCATTAATCTGTTTGTATAGATCGAGAAAGTTTTGTTTAAGAGGGGTTTTCATAAATGAAAGAAGCGTGGTTTTTTAATTGGGAGGGACAAGTTCGGTAAAAAACTTGGCTTTCTGTATAAACCTCCCTCTAGAAGCTTACCGAATAAGCCACTTTCTATATTATTAAGTCCCTACCAAACAATTTTTATGTATAACTCACCGAATAAACCGCTAAGTCCCATCAAATTTATTAAGATCCTAACAAAAGGGCATAAATGAATGAAAAAGAACATCATTCAATCACCAAAACTGCACATCAAGCATCATCTTTACAAAAAGACAAGAGGGGTGAGATATTTTAATGGAGGGCAACAAATGATGACAGATCTTAGCCCCCTTTTTCCACACAATCATCATTTCCAAACTATATCATTGCCCTTCTTCAACCCTCTTTCCTAAACCAAAACCTCACCATTTTAACAAATTTGAGCAAAAGGCTCATTATCGATCGATCCCATATAGAATCCGTCCCTTAGGACTTCATGTGAGTAGACATTTCAGAGCTGACTCAATAGCTGAGACTAACAGAGGGGTTCAAACCCGTCTCCAATAGTATTCAAACTTGAACACGTTGTGTATAAAAGCAAAGCTCCCGACAGAACTACACTCCCGAAAGCACCATTTCAACAAATGAAAGTAGGAATTTATATCAAATAACTAAAAGAGGTTCGATTTTGATAGTTTTTTCTCTCTCCAAATGCTTTTAATTCAATTTAATCGAACTTTTTATGTTTAATATTAAAAGATTGGACAATTTTAGATCTGTGAAGTTGAAATGATTTCATGAAAATTTAATGAAATCTTATGAATAAACAGGGTGGAAATTGGTATATGGATTAATTGAGGTAACATGGATTCATGAATGAAATTGGTCAACCTGCTTAGAACCCAGTACAAATTTCATTTAAACCACCAAAATATGCACATGACAACTGTGTGGTTTCCTCATATCTAAGCATTATTACTACTAAATTATTCCAAGTTCCCTTACACTTCACTCAACATACCACACTTTTCTTTAAAAAACACACAAAACCCATTATCTTTTTTCAATAATACTCCCAGTTTTTTGCTCAAGGTCTTCTTGCTCATTTTCTTATTGTTTGAGAAAATCCCAAAAGATATATCATTCATTATCTATACAGTATATATATGTATACAAGTAATTGAAGATATTTCCTTGTTTTTATACATGTGTACATATTATGTATACACATATATATAACATTTAAATGAATGATAAAAGTGAACCCATCCACCTTATATTGATATAAAATGCAAGAATATGTACTTTTGAAAAGGGAAAATTGGGGGGGTATTTGCCTGATTCTGAGGCTAAAGACGAAGTGTAGAACCATTGGGATTTTGACATGTGTGACTGTATATAGCTTTTTTAATCCAAAATATTCGGGAAGTGTCTAATATACCCTTGTGTTTGGAGACCGTCTCTGTATTTTATTTACAATGGTAAGAGGGAGTAAACTGTAAATTACTCAAAAGAGAGCAAGGGGCCAAAGGCAGCTCTGTTTGGGTGTTGCAAATCTTGATTATAAGGAGGAAATGAATGATTAAAGTTTTGCCCTTTAAACCATTTTGATGTTTCTTTCTTTGGCGAATATCGACACAGCATTCGGTACTTGAAAAGCAAAAACAAGATTGACAGCCCCGTCACAGTCACTCTGTGTGTTTTTGTGTGTCTTCTGAAGGTTAAAAGAGAATAGTGATAATGGCAGAGACAACAATTTAAAATCAAAAGCTGAAAAATTGCTACAAAACACACCCAGTGACTGAAAAGCATGAACCCATCATCAGACTCTTCATCCTTCTCCTCCTTTATCTTTTCTTTTCCTTTCTTGGGTCGGTTTGTTCCTTCTTTATGATGTTGATAATATATTATTGGGATTCTGTAATCATTCCACCTGTTAATCTCCCTTCTTTTTGTGCTTTTTGATGCTTTACAGTTGATATATCAAACACCCTTCACTCCATTTTTCAATCTTTTTCTTTTTTCTATCAATTCTGCTATATGTTCTTAGGGTTTCAAGAAATGTTGATCAACATTCAACGGTAAGGTTCTTGCTTTCTTGTGATTTTGTGTTTAGGGTATTCTTTTTTGGTGTTGTTGGGTTCTTATTAGCATTCAATTATAGCGTTTTAGTTACAACCCACCAAGAAAAATGAAGAAAGAGACTCTTTTCTTGAAAATTGTTTGAGAATTTCTTGAAAATCTTTTGTGGGTTCTTAATTAACATTCAGTTATAGCATTTTAGTTAAAACCCACCAAGAAAAATGAAGAAAGAGACTCTTTTCTTGAAAAATGTTTGAGGGTTACTTGAGATCTTTTGTGGGTTCTTCTCCATCTTTTCTGTTTCGCCATAACTTCCATATCTTCTTTTGAATTAGTTTAGCTTTTGAAGTTTAATGAAATGGCGGAAATTAGACTAACAAAGGTAGAACAAGGGCACACCAAGATTAGAAATGTGCCAATAGCTGTAACCCCAGAAGGATTTTGGTGTTGTCCTTCTCCTGTTATGTTTCAGAAAACCCTAAAAACACAACACCACCACCCACTAAACAAACCCAAATCATCATCATCATCATCTCCACCTATCAAGACTTCTTCTGATCACAAGAAACATTCTCCTGAACTTGATAAAAAACCATCATCACGTGCCTCTTCAAAATCAGAAACTGTTCTTCCTGATGATCAAAAGAAAAATGGTTTTGAACCACCTGCTCTTGGTGCATCACTTGTGGCAGAGAGGACAGGATCAAGACCCAATCAAGAAAATTTGCCAAGAAAGGTATCTATTGAATTTGGTGAATCTGGAACAGGTGATTTGAAAGTAGTGTTAATGGGTAGACAAGGGTTTATTGTGAAGTTAAGTGTTCACAAGAGTGTTCTTGAGGAAAACAGCACATTTTTTGCTGAGAAATTAGTGGCAAAGAATCCCAGTTTCCATTGTATTGAAGTTGATGATTGTGAGGATGTTGAAACATATGTTGAGACTGTGGGCTTGATGTATTGCAAAGAATTGAAGCAGAGGTTGATCAAGCAAAGTGTTTCAAGAGTTCTTCGTATCCTTAAGGTAATTGGCTGAATCTTTCTATATTTGCAATCCAATACTTGAGAGGCCATTCAATTCAAGAAATCCTTTTTGAGCTTTGATCTCACTTTCTTTCTATGATTTAAATGCTTAAACTCATGTACATGATTCCATTTATGTGTTCTTTTCTTTATAATCTTATTGAATGTGTGAAAATATGTGGAATCCCCATTAGATTACTTTCCAAAAAAGCATGAGAGAAGGGAGGTTACAAGATATATAATTGAGGAGAAATGATCCAAGTCTAGCTGATGTGAGACTCTAAAGAGGATTTTCGTTTGGTTTTCCACCAAGTCCTGTATGGATAAAGTTGTCTGTGTGGATTGGAAGGTTTTTGTTTGGGAGGATTTTTTTTATAGATGGAATGAGCATATTTTTTTAATCAGGGTTTGGAAAAAACTTGGCTTTCTGCATAAAACTCCCCTTGGAAACTTAATGAGTAAGCCACTTTCTATATTATTAAGCCACTACTAACAATTGTGTATAGCTGACCGAATAAGCTGTGAGTCCATTAAGCTCATTAAACTGCTAATAAACAGGCCCTAACATACCCCCTCCAACCGAGACTAGATGAGCATAGATTGTCCCAGAGTGTCGAGAAGGGGCTAGACGAATACATATTGCCCCTGGAGTGTCGATTCCCTGGAGTGGTAGACTTTGACTCTGTAGCTATATGAGAATCTGTGGACCCCCATTAAATTACTCTAAAAAAGAGCCTCGGTTCCAACATATATTGAGGATAAATGGTTCAACTCCAGCTGATGTGGGACTCTAACAGAATGAATGAATGAATAGAAGCTTGTCTTTGATCTTTATGAACAACCAAGAAACTTATCAAGAACCCTAAAAAATGCCAACATTGTAATGAATTATAATTATCTTTTGTTCTATTAATAGGTATGCAATCTGACTGATACTGTAGCTTAATATCATCTGATTACTTTGTTACAAAATCTCTGTAAAAAATTGTCAGTGAAGATGAAATGATGATGGAAGATGTTATTACTTATTAGTCTTTGACTAATGAGTTTCTGCAATAAATTCAAGTTGTTGGCAAGATGAGAGTTGACTCGGGAGTTAATACCATAATAAACCCCCCCTTGATCACATTGTGCTAAAAATGACACCAAATAGAATACAATTTACGTAAGGAATTTAAATGCGGTCTTTTTTGAATAATTTCCCCACCTTTCGAAGTAGAAATCGACAAATTGACAGTTTATCGAATCTTTAAAGAGAAAAAGTAAGCTAGAAATGACAAATTTATCCGGATGTTAGAATTGGATATCGTGGGGTTCATAAAAGTCTGTTCTTGGTCATCAAAGTTAAAGGCTTTCTGCAATTTTGTTTATATTCCTGTTTTTCCATAATTGAAATCGTGTCTTCTTAGTTTTTGGTGGCATATTTTCTTGATGAAGATGACAATAAGCTTGTATTCCTTGAGAGTATTCAGTTAGAATGCAAGCTTAAAGGACCCATTGGCTGCTGGAAAAGATTGAGGCATTACTTGCTGATGTGTATTCATATAGTTACCACCATAGGATAAAATGTGGGCATTTAGTGGAGTTAGGTGGCTGAATGAGTTCTAATCACCTAAACGGGATTAAGGGTCCGTTTACTAAACGTTCACTGGGTAGGATGAGCATGGCAAGACTAAGAATCTTACCCTGTAAGAGGCATAACAAGGACCAAGAATCTTTTCCTGTAGGTGAGGGAAAAGACTCTTACCGGGTAAAAGATGCTTACCATCGATCCATTTTGATGGCTGAGGATGTTACTTGATAAGGTACGTGAGGGTGGTTACTCTTGTCATTAAGTGCTTATCTGGTAAGCGTTTGATAAACGGCGTCTAAAAATCGAACTGAAGGAGATATCTACTTTTTAAAGACTCATTTAGGTATATAATCTTAAATGAGATTTTAAATAAATTCATGACCCTCCTGACTTATTAAGACAAGACTTCATTTTCATGAGAAGATCATGAATTTAATTGAAATCTCATTTAAAGTTGCTAATTGAAACTAATTGTAGGTTGCAGAGCAGCTTGGGTTCAAGAGTTGCATGGAATCATGCTTAGATTTCTTGGAAGCAGTCCCTTGGGTGGGAGAGGAAGAAGAAGAGAGGGTGGTGTCATCCGTTTTACGTCTTCAAACCGAAGGGTTCGGGGTCAGCCCGATACTAAAACGTGTGGCCTCAGATGTTTCGAAACCCCCGAAAGACACCCTCTCTCACGTGCTCCAACTCGTGCTAAAAAGCAACGAAGAAAAAGGGCGTCGAGAAATGAAATCCATCGTCTTAAAGCTTCTGAGAGAAAACAACAAATCTCTTCCGAATTGTAGCTCATCGATCTCCGGAGACCTCTGTAACACCACCATTTACGCTTCGTGTAGAACCTGCTTGGGTTCGTTGTTGTTTCTTTTCCGGCAAGTGGCTCAGTCGGAGTTTGCAGAACAACCGATAGAAGTCAAGAATCCGGTGGTCAAACAGATGGCATTGGAGGCCGATAATCTCTCGTGGTTACTTGATATATTAGCCGACCGACATGGAGCCGATGAGTTTGCGGTCATGTGGGCTAGCCAACAAGAACTGGCTGCGCTGCACCCTCGGGTTCCTATAATGAACCGCCACCACATTAGCTGCATAACCGCCCGGCTATTCGTCGGGATAGGAAGAGGCGAACTATTACCCTGTAAAGACACCCGCCATTTGTTGCTGAAGACATGGCTACAACCATTGATCGATGACTACAGCTGGTTACAACACGGGTGCAAATCATTTGATCGGAAGGTCGTGGAGGAAGGGATCGGAAGAACTATATTAACACTCCCGCTCGAGGATCAGCAGATTATTTTGCTTGGGTGGTTGAGTAGTTTCTTGAAAGCGGGGGACAACTGCCCGAATCTTCAAAAAGCGTTTGAAGTATGGTGGCGGAGGACGTTCGTTAGACCGTACACGGAACAAGGGAACACGACACAACCGTCGTCGGATTAGCGAATCTTGTGAACGTGGAGGGCTGTAACGGATATGTGCAACGGTGTGGATTTTCGTTTATCGATTGTTGTTTGAAGAATTGCGATGTTTAGTTGGCGTGTTACTAATCGAACTTTTAATAATATATATATATAGCGTATATGAAGCTTAATTGTGTATGTATGTTAAAAATGAATATGAGAATTAAGGCCTACAATATATCTGAATTGTTTTCTGCTGGGATGGAGTTTTGAAAACAGATATTTCTGTCTGAATATATATATATATATATATATATATATATATATATATATATATATATATATATATATATATATATATATATATATATATATATATATATATACATGTCTGAATGAGTTTTGGTGTCTGGATTGAAAGAGATGAGTGATAATAAATGAAGAGTTGTGGTCCAATTCACAACATGGTATGAGTTGAGTGATAGATTGAAGCAAATGCATGCGGACTTATCGCCAAATAAAAATGGTGGTCCTTCTGACCCAATTCTTCCACTATTCTTTTCACTCCCATCTTTTTTAAAGTTGTCCATGGAATATATATACACATATCTATATATATATATATAGATGGTTCATACGTGAATGATACCTAAATAAAAAAATGACTAAATTACGTATAAAATCACATTCGATTTTACATTAATGGTCAAATGTCCAAATTTTATTGCCAGTTGAACTAATCCTACAAGGTTAAAACATTTTCAATGGTTTGTACTGTTTTTAGATTAAAAAGAGCGTAAAATTTGGTGTACATATTTATTTATATCTAATTTCTATAAATTTTCAAGAATACCCTTATCAGTATATGAATTTAGGTGATCGAGGGTGTGTATCTAGGGGTATCAAAAGTATTCAAAGATGAATAACCCCATTCGAACTGAAGGAGGTTTTGGTTGAATAATTAGTTAACTGAATAAATATATTTTCTTTAGTTTGATTTTTGGTTATATTTGTATTAGTTGAAGGTAAATTGGTTTATTGTAAACAAAAAAACAAGTAAACAACTATACCGAACAATCATTTATATAAAACAGATGATAACAGCAGAATCATTAACAAAATCAAAAATATAAACACACTAAGACTATCTTTTGAAGTTTGAGCAAATCAAAATCAGTAATATACTTAGGTATAATTACTTGCTTATACTTGACAACACAACAAATCAAGTAATCCACAAATTAGGGTATAAAATGTTGGGGGCGATCGCTATAAAATGTTGGGGGCATTAATGGGATTTCAAGGTAAAAAAATACAACAAAAGGTGGTGTTGACTTTTCTGGTGGGGGCAAGTGAATCCTACCCCTCCAACTAGGTTGGTCCAGATTTTTTCATCGGTTGTTTGAATTGTCAATTTTATTATATGCTATTTAGATTTTTTTTCTGGTTATCTTTTTATTTTATTTTATATCTATACTATATTATAAAGTATTTGATAAAAACTTTTAAAAATTATTTTTTATGCGTAAAGTACTGTTTATTAATGCATATTACTTAAAACTCAAAATTGCAAGTAGATTGTGTGTAAGTACAACTTATTAAAGCTTCATATCTGATTCGTGTAACTAACTGCAGATAAACATAATCAAATACAAGATAAACATCTCATTTTAAATATAAAAAATCTAAAATATAATTAGGATAATTATTGAATTCTAACAGAATACTTAATTATTATCTTTATAAAATTTATAATATTAAAACAAAAATAAATTATTTCATTATTAAATTTAAATTAAATTATAATAAAAAAATAAACTAAAGAAATTACATAAAATTGATAACTTTTAAATAATTGATTTGATATTAACATTAATATTTTTTTTCAAATTTATATTTTATTTAAAAATAAAATCATTATTGTTTTCTTAAAAACACATAATCTATATTTACTATATTATAAAGCATATGACAAAAACTCTTAAAAATCATTTTTATGCGTAAAGTACTCTTTATTAATCCATATTACTTAAAAATTCAAGATTGCAAGTAGATTGTGCGTAAGTACAACTTATTAAAACTCCATATATGAATTCGTGTAACTAACTGCAGATAAACATAATCAAATACAAGATAAACATCTCATTTTAAATATAAAATATCTAAAATATAATTAAGATAATCATTAAGTTCTAACAGAATACTTAATTATTAATATTATAAAATGTTATATTATTAAACCAAAAATAAATTATTTAGTTATTAAACTTAAATTAAATTATAATTAAAAAAATTAAAGAAATTACATAAAAAATTGAAAACTTTTAAATAGTTGATTTGATATTAACATTGATATATATTTTTTTAAAAATTTTATGATATATTCAAATTTATATTTTATTCAAAAAGAAAATCATTATTGTTTTTCTTAAAAACACATAAAATCGTATTATAACATTGACAGAGACAAAAAATAAAATAGAATATTAAATCGAGATGTGTCTCGCTGCATTGCACGAGTACTCTTTTAATTATAATTGAAAACATTAATATTAAATTGGTGTAAATAAATAGTTTAACATTAAATTCGGCATTATTTTATTTATAAAAAATCTAAATAAAATACATTGGGATTTTTTTTTGAAAAAAAGAACTCAACATGTGAAATTCTCTTAGGACCACATCTGGGTGCAGGGGAGGAGATAATGGTTTGGATCCTCTACGACCGGACTCCAACAATTTATACAAGTAATTCATTATGATTTTTGTTTTAGGAGTCGTTTAGCAAAAAATTATCCGGATAAACACTTATTAAGTTATATTATTTCATCGTATTAATTTTTTGCCGAAGGGTAAAAAATTTTAGATTCGTTAAAGGTGCAACCATATTAATTGTTGTGTGGCAACCGTATGTATTTTGAAACTACAATGAGAACAATTTTTATTTGGTAGAGTTGGTTTGCAAGACTTTTATTCCACCCCAGATCCAAGTTCGAATTTTGTTATTGTCATTTTCTTAGTCAAATTGTGTCATCGTATGAATAAAAATTCCGTATATTTGTTTCTTATAGTCAAACAATGTCACCGTTTGAAAAAAATTTCCTATATTTTTTTCTTATAGTCAAATGGTGCCACCGTTTGAAAACATTCTGGGTCCGTCCCTGCCGGATGAATATGTAAAGAGCAAGAATCTTACCCGATAAGAGCGAAACAAGGACCAAAAGTCTTACCCGGTAGATAATTTAAATAATTTAAAAAAAAAAGAATTTTTAAGCACAACTATTGAACACGTGCTTATGTGATGTGATTTTCTGATTTATTTAAATGGTTGAAAGTTTCATTTTTTTTTAAATAAATAAATTATTAAAATTTTCATTTTTAATGATCAAATATTTGAACATCTTTTGGATAAATCAACCATTGAACTTTTAACCTAAAAAAATGCCTAGAAAAATTGTAAACTAGAAAAAACTCAAATTTAATTTTACTGTTCGAAAATTCTACGTACTCTGTTACGCCCATCTTCATCAGTTCTCTATCATAGACCAACCCCATGGTTGTTGGACCCCTGCCATCGATCTCCCTTTTTTGTTTTTTGGATTCTTTCTCTTTCTTGATCTATATATACGTACTCTGTTAAATTGTTGTAAGAAAGAATAACTGAAAGACAAAACAAATCAAAAAGAGGGAGATCGATGGTAGGGAATAATAGCAACGATAAGTTGCATGGAGCACAAACAAAAATGGGAAGACAAATGATGGTGAGGGGAAACAATGTCACTAAGTGTAAGGGTTGAATGTCGTAGTTCTGAAATGATAAAAACTGATTTTAGGTTTAAAATTATGATGATTTATTTATTTACAAACTTAATTATTTAAAATAAATTTTTTTTATAATTTAATCATTTAAAAATATAATTTTAAAACTTAATCATTTAAAATAAAAAAGTTTAAATGTTAAAAGAAAGGAAGAAATAAAATAGATCCATGATTTTAAGCATTTGGCAGTTGCCATACAATACACGTGACGTGAATACGTGATAGTGATATTGGGCCAGGCCCACGATATAGTAAAGATATTTTAAGTTTCAGATATTTTCAGGGTATTCTTAATCAACTTTCATGGTTTATGATTTTATTTACTTAAAGGTCATCAAATTTATTTAAAATTAATTATTAACATGAGATTAAAATATGGAGGAAAAAACAAATTGATATACAAATGTTAAATAATGATATATATATATATATATATATATATAGAGAGAGAGAGAGAGAGAGAGAGAGAGAGGTGTGGAGGTTCAAACGAGAACACTCTATCTTACAAGAACGCGAGAACATCCTTATCAAATGTGATAATACGCGTAAGGGGACCATGTAATGTGCGGACGACGTGTTCTATGACTTAGGTCGTGCCAAAGGTTGTCTGCGTCTTTGATTTAACATCACATGTGATGGTCTTAAAGGATTATAATATCATATCAACAACACTCTTATCACATGTGATAATACTTGTGAAGGGGCTTAGTGATGTAAGGACGACTTGACCCGCAACCAAGATCGCATCGAAAATCAATAGCGTCTCTGATTTAGTATCACATGTGTATCATATGTGATGAAATAATAGTATCACATTTGATTGTATATAATAAAAAAGTGTTCTCGTTTGAACCTTTCCCTAAGGTTATATACATATATACATACATACATACATACATACATACATATAAATAAAATAAGGTTAGGTACAAAGGAGCACTGTAAAAAACGAAAAATTAAGAAGCATCATACTAACCATTCATTTGTACAATATGCACACGTAGATACAAATAACTTGTCAGGTATTTGTATGTATAAATTTGAGGTTTTTTTTATGAGTTCGATTTGAATGTATAAGTGTTAAATGAAGACACGTATTATGTTGATTTAAAGAATATTAATGAGAAAGATAAGATGGCATGAATACCATGTAACACTTATCAAATGACAACTTTGCATATATGCAAGGAATAGCATCAAATATCATGTCTTGTCATTCATAATTTCAAGCATTGAACATAAGAGATATGCCAATTAAGTTTAGGCTAGATAATTATGATATACCATTAATCATATAAATCATAAACTTTTAGTCCAACCAAACAGCCTTTGGTCTAGTGTTGTTGGAGTCTTTAGCTTCATAGGAGGCCATATAAGTATTCAAAAAAAACCGTTAAATTGTTCAAACTGGTTGAACCAAGTTAAATCAGTCCATTTTT